GAAGTAGTTTTAGTTTTGAATTATCGAACATGCTTACAGTATATTTGATATATTGTAAGAAAGTTTTCAAATCACAAATTTTACTCAGAGAAGTGTAAAAAAAATTGATTCTTCGAAATTTCGCACCTAACTTGTACTACATCCTTTCGCATCTTAGTTTTCGAAAAAATTCTTAAACACTTTATTTTAAAAATTATTTTATTTTGAAGAAACTGTTTGAACATTGAAAACAGACGGGTTTTTTCAAATTTGGTAAAAATTTTCTACTGTGTCTTTATTATTTTATAAGTTTATAACTATTCTAAATCAAAAAATTTCTAGCTTATATTCGCAAATTATTAAAATTATTTAATTAATCATATAAATATTTTTTATAAAATAATAAAAATATATTTTTGAATATTTTTATTAAATTATTTTATTCATTTATTAAATTATTTATGAAATATTAAAGAAAAACCACAATAATCTAGTTAGAACAATGTATAACATATAAAATATAATAATAATATAAAATGCAAGTATTGTGATGACATTCGAATAGAATAAAATAGAACAATAATATATAAAACATAATTTTGTTGGTGGTCTCTCTTATATCACCTTATTTAAAATTGTTTTAGTTTATACACATATTGTAGAAACAAAAAATCTACACGGAATATTTGACAAAAAAAAATTCACCAGGAATAGAAAAAGAGTGGGTTGAAATAAAATTTAATAATACTAGCGATATATTATAAAACTGATTTAAATTCATTTCTAATATAATATGATATTTAGGAAGATGATCTGATTGAATTTTAAAATAAAAATTATAAACGCATTTCAGATTATCAAAAAAAAATATTAATTTTCATATAAACAAGAATAATTTAAAAAAGTTATTTAAAATTATTATTAAATAATTTGTATAAATAATATTGTATGTATTTAAAATTAAAAAAAAAAAATATTTTTATTATTTTTATTTAATTTTTAATTTTATGATATTTTTAATTAATTTATACTTTACACATTTAAAGAACACAGAAAAAATTTAAATTTTTACTTCGAATCGAATAACATCACAAACTTTTCAAAAATAATTGGTAGCCCCAAACGGAAGAAAGAAAGAAGATAACAGTAATGTAAATGCGAGTCACAACCTCTCAGGTAAATAAAAATCACCGCCTCACATTCACGTAATAAATGCCCCACCGTTTTGTTATCTTCCAGGCAGACCTTATCGTCTGCCTTGCTAATCGTTTTAAGGCAATGTCCAGTGAGTACACCCACCAATAACCTCAAATTTGGACAAATAAGGGTAGTTCGCGCCTCTCCAAGATGCCAAAGGAGACATAAATTTTTTGATATGAGATAGGTTCGAGAAATTGTTCAAATGATCGACCCTGGTCTGTTCTTCTCTTCTGCGGGAGAATCTTCTGCGGGATTTGTTTAGTATGCGACAGATTTTTAAAAGTTAATCTAAAAATATAAGAAGTATTAACAATTTCATTCACAAATCCACATTGATTTCTTTTTCAAATAGAAAATACTTATTACAATAACTTATTGCCTTTCAGTATGTTTTCTTTAGAATTTTGATAGTCTTTCATTGAAAACGTATTTTGAAAATTCTTTTGCCATTATGCACGTGTTATACTGTTTTATTTACTCAAAAAACCGTTTTATTGGTATGTCATGCCATCTATATATTTCTTTAACATACATACATATACTTTATTTCTTTAACTAATCGACTTCAATATAATTTTGTTACTTGATGGAACTACATCGTCTGACAATCTGTAAAAATATCGCTCCCAATTAATAAATGACCATCTTACTGATTTGTTGCGAGTAATTTACCGCAATTTCATATTGGATTTTAAAGATTTGACGAAAAATACATTAATGCCATATAGATCGAATTGACTTTATATATGTTTTTGTTTATTGCGAAATTTAAACTATAAATTGTTTTCTCTTAATGCTGTATCAGTTTATGTCCTTGCAGAAAATAAAATTATCTAATGTAAGTAAATCATAACTTATGTTTTTGTTTTAATTTTCTTTATTATTAATTTAATTGCAGCTCTTGAAAATATATAAAAACCTCAATGTTGATCTCATACATGGCAACCCCTGATATATGCAATTATAATATAATGAAATTAAGTTCTAGTTCAAAATATAACAGTATGAGAATTTTCAGACATAATATCTACTGTCGAAAATTTTAAAAACTAAAAGAAAAATAAATATGCGCGCATATCTCTTTTTCTCTCGTTTTTAAGGTCTGCTTTAATATTTACATTTCTGCCATTCATTGTTGCTTATTACTTGCCGCTCTGGTCAAAAATTTACTAGTACGATATGTAATTTGTTTATATATAAACATACATTATAATCAAATAGTAGCAATTTGATAAAAATTGGTGCACAGTTTAATTTTTAAATTTCTCATTTTTTTTTTCATGTATTTTTATTTTAAATAAAAATTTATAAAAAATTCTTTGGTATCTAGAGCTTCAAGTTTAACTATAAATAAAATACTTGTAATGAATAAAAAAAAAAAAAGAAGTCAACCTCAACATTTTCTTTAAATTATAAAATAAAATTTTTATAAAAATAATCAAAAAAATAATGATGTAAATTGAAAAAATTTTATTTTTATATGAAAAAATTTGGAATATTTCCCAATATTATACGAGCAGATATGTACAGAATTTTAAGTTGAAAGTTAATTTAATATTTTATTATAATAATTAAAGAAAATTATTTTTATAAGTTCAATAAGGAAGAGTAAATATTGCTATACATATAAACATTGTTGTACTTGTAATGTTTTTTGAAAATTTTTGTAAATTTTTGTAAAAATTTTTGTTTTAAATACGCGGATGTATTAAGCATTATTTACCCATGTAGCACATATACGCAAATGATGTCTTATATTATGAAGAATTAACTATGGGTATATATATATGCATGTGTGTATAGTTGTTGTATTTAAAATGATTTCCTTTGTTTTAAAAGCAAATTTTAAAATATATTTTAATTTTTTTTTTTTATTTTTCATTTTATTTTTTTTTTTCTGTTAAACAAATTCACAAAACTATTAAGAAGCGTGTAAAAATTTTTTGTTTTCTCTTAAAAATCATAGCCAAAATAATAGAAAAAAGTTTATTTTTATTACATCAGATATTGAACATAATTAAAATGAAAATGTTTAATTATATGAAATTTTTATAGTTTGTTTTGTTTTTCAATTTTTTTCTCTATTTTTTTTTTTTGCTGTTTCTCTATGAATAAAATGAGAACAATGACTCTATGGCGCTTTTGTTTACGAATGTTTTCTTGTTTGTAACATTTTTAATATATGGAACACATTTGATTTTAATTCTAAAATTTCAATTTCAATTCACTTACATATTTAAAAAAAAATATGTTTCAATGAAAAAAAAATCTTTTTTCTATGCAATACGTGTTTTGCATAGAATATTATAGAAAATAGAATAATATAGAATTTGTATAGAAAATTAAAATTTTTATAACATTTATTTCATAATTTTTTTGAAAAAGAATTCATTTATAATAATATTATGCATAATATTAAAAATAAAATACAAAAATATTTTATAACATGGATAAGTGCATATGGGACGAATAAAATTAAATTTATGATTGGTAGCCTTGAATGTAAAATGGATTTCATCCAAATATTATTCATCTTTGAAAAATTTTGGAATTTTTAAATATTATTTGTAATCTACACTATGACTATAGAGTGACGATAAAATATTGTGACGATAATTAGTATTACAAGAGCAATAATCAATTAAAAAGAATTGTTTTCAATAAAGTGACAAGAATAAAAAATTAAAGAGGATTCATTTTCAGATATGAGAAGTTGCATACTTTTTTTTTTTGGCAATTTATTAAATAAATATTGTACATTGAAGCTAATTATCTCACAAGTAATACTCGTAAGCAGTTTTGTCAAAAGAACTGGTGATTTTTCAACATCATAAAGGCTTTGTTAAATTTTAAACTTAACGCGAATTATTTTTGATTACGAGTTCATAGAAGATGAGTTGTTAATATTTATATCTACTATTAAACGCAGCATACAAAATTCTTATTTATAATATTATTTGAAATTTTCACTCAATTCTCATAATTTTTTACGTTGGATTGGATTTGTAAGAAATTTGAAAAAGAAAATATTTAATTTTTAATTTAGACTATCAACTTAATTTTAAAAACAAAACCTTCTATAAATTTTTTTGAAACTTTCCAATATTAAATTCAAAAACAACTTTTATATTCCTTTGTAATAAGTATAAACATGAATTATTGTTAAAAATTTTTGTCTACTGCAATATTTTTAATTTTAATTTTATTTAAATTTTATATAAAATAAATATTTTATTTTATTTTTTTTAATTTAATTAAATGAACATGTATATATGTATGTTTTTTGGCATTTATTTTTAATTGTTTTTAAAGACGATCATTACATTTTTTAAAAATCTTTTTATATAAAAATTATAAATAACAAGAAAGTAATAAAAATTTTGTGAAAAAATAAAATTACGAAACAATACAAAAAACAAAAATTAATTTATATTACAAATACTAAATAAAATCTGGAAATTATTTTATATAGATCATAAATTTAATTTAATTTTTTACGAAATTATTTTTATCACAATTGTGTTAAAATTTGGAAAAACATTTTATTATACTTTTTTTTGTTATTAATAAAATTTTTAACCATTTTTTATCACTTTAATTTCCTGCCCTTTTCTTTATTTTTAATTGCTTTTAACTCATAAATGCTGAAATTTAAAAAAATGAAAATCAGTGCCAAATGCTAAACGAAATGCTAAATTTTAATAGTAAAATGCGTACATGTAATAACACTTTTAAATTTATATCCTTTCAAAATTATTTACATATATAAAAATTTAATATAATCTTTTACTAATAAAGAATCTCAATATTACAGAGGGAGCGTTTAAATATTATGTAGGCACAAAATATTGGAACATTTTTTTATATATGCACTAAATTCACTTTGGTAATTATGGTAATTATAAAAATAAAAAGAGAAAAATTGCATTATTTAATTATTTAAGGGAAAAAATATGCAAACTATTTGAAAAAAATTTAATTTGTATTGTTTTTTTTTTTAATTTTGTCTTTAACTTTATTAATATTTCTAATTTAACTTTATTTATTTTAGATTGTTGGAGTTTTTTAGCTGTGCCATATAAAATGGATAAAGTGGAAAAATATATTTTAATGTTTGGAGCAACACAGAACCTTCACCGTTAACAGATTTAATACAAAATTATGATAGATGTGATGACCTAAAGTCGGGTACATAAACCCTCAGTTAAGATAGAAATTTCACAACAAATGAAGATTTTGTTTTTATTTTTTTTAATTTAAAAAAGTTAAATTTTTTTGTATATTGTTATAAATTTTAATTTTTCTTAATTCACTTGCACAATACCGAATAATTGTCATGCATTAATGCATGCAATATTACAAATTAATGATTTGACCAGTAAAAATGATTTACGCCTATTAGCAGGCAATTACATAATAATTACATATGTTTCAAAAAATTTAACTAGTTTTGCCATTACGGAATCTTAATATTTACATATATTTACTTTAATTTGTTAAAATTAAAAATTTTTCAAAATTTAAACAATTTAACAAACGATTAAAATTAAAAAATTAATATTAATTTACATAAAATTATTTAAGATTTATCATTTATTCTACAGAATGTAAACAATTTAAAATAATTTATGTCTTGAATATTTGATAAATTTTGTAAAATTTAATAATATTAAAGCTTACTAACATGTAGTAAATATCGAAAATGATTTAATGCATCATGCATTTTAACAAAGAATAAATCATCTTTTATATTAAAATTTTTAAAAATCAAAAATTTAATGATTTATATTAAAATGTATGTATTAAGTAAACACATTAAATAAGATTATCATAACAATTTCTTTTGAACAAATATTAATCTTTTAATTCAATTAAAAATTATAAATTAAAATACATTTTAATATTTATTTTATCATATATAAAAGATTCTTTAAATGAAACGTTCTTTATTTCAAAGAAGAAGAACAATTTTGATCATAAAATAATTCTTTTAAAATATATAATATGTAATTTACATTTATATTTTGTACATTTTATGATTAAAATTATATATAATTATGTTTGCATATTTTTTTAAAAGCATACAAGTAACATTCCTAATATTAATATCAATTTTTCATTTATGTTAATGTACAAAATATATTCTTTTTGTTATTCCAGACCTTACATACATTTATATAAACAATGATTATATGCAATAGATTTCGTCTTAGTGTGTTTAGTTGTGTTTTTTGATAAAATAATTATAATTAACATTTAACAAAAACAGAAACAGAAGCCATTGATAATATTTTCAAATCTTCGGCTTGCAGTTAGCGTCGCTTTTTAGAAAGATTCGAAACCAGCTTAATTAAAAAAAAATATTAGAAATTAAATAATAAGAGAATTAGGAATTTTAGTTTTAAAACTAAAACTATTTTTGGTTATTCTGCAATTTAAAGAAAATCTCTTTCATAATTTAGAATATTTAATTTTATTTATTGAAACAAAAAATTATTGTTATATAAAAAAAGCCATTCATACCTTTAAATAAGATTTTTTAGTTAAAATGAAATATTTTTTTTTTGTAATTTGTATTGACAATAAATTAGAAATAATTGAAAATATTTTATTAAAAAATATTTCACTATTTATTTAAATGCAATTTAAAATTGGCACAACTCAAAATTAGCACTTAAATTTTTTATAAAATTATTTTTTCAATAGCACTTTTATAAATACTTCTCTTATCACTGCACTTGGGAGCTTACACACTTTTTAACAAAAATCGATTGTAATTTTTTCCCGATATTATAATTATTTATTATTTGAATTAAATTTTTAAAATTTCGTATTTTTAAGTTATATATTTTCTTAAAATATTTTAGAAAAAAAAAAAGACAAATTCCGATGTACCGAAATTTTTCTGCCGATTTTTTAAAAGTTCCCGCAGCACGTACAAGAAGAGAAAATACTATGAAAATTCAAGAAGAAAAATCATTTTTTTTAATTACAATAACATACTCTTTTTTATTTTTTCTTCATCCAAGTTATTTTTAAAACGTCCTCGGCAGACAACCTTTTAATTTTTTTATTTTATTTTAACAAAAAAATTCTTCTTTTTTTTTGTGTTATAGTTTAATAAAATAAGTTTACAATATAGAAATTGTACATGTTTTTAATAAAGAAATTGGGAAAATAAAAATATTCAATATTTTCAGATTAAATTTAATTCTTATAAGTTTAAAATTTATGATTATAAAGGAATGTTTTTTTTTCTCTCGTCTTGTAAATAAAACGCTTAAAATATTTTTTTTTTAAATAAATGAAATTAAACTTTGAGAAAACAAAATTGAAAAGAATTCTTTTACTATTTATTTCTAAGTAAAAATGTTTGTTTAAGTATTTCTATAAATATTTATAAATACATACATACCACTTATTTGCAAGTCAGTTACAACTCAAAAATTGATGTTTTCGAGAAAAATGTGGAATTAATTTTTTTCAATCAGCATCGTTGATTTTACGAAATTTTAATTTGTTCTCCTCCTTTAATTTTGGAACGAAACAATCTTCTCTTTTTTTCATTTTTATACGCTTTCTATACAAATTTTCAAAGTTATTTCATGAAAAAATGCAATTTTTGAGTTGCTACAAAAATATTTTTGCAAATGAACGAGGAAAATCCAAACAGATTATGATAATTTAGATTATAATAAACATGTGTCGTATCAAATATTATTAAAAAATTAAATTATTAATCCAAATCTATTTTCCTATATACAACAATATTTTAGTTTTCATTTCACTTATAACTTAAATTATATTATAAATATAGAATTAAAATATTTTGTTGGATTCGCTAAATTTATTATTATTGCATATAATATGTTATATACTTATTAAATTATATATAGAATTATGGGATTTTAAAATATTTTTTAAGGTCATTTAAATACACCAACGTACCCATATAGTATAAAAATGAAAAAGTCATTTAAGATAATTTTGATAATTTCAAGAGAAACTGGAAATTTTTATTAAGGGCATTCGAAAAAAACAAAGCACTATTTTTTTTATAAATGACGTAATTATATCATTATTAATTACGTCATTGCTTCTTATGTTCTTTATATTTTTGTGTTCGAAATCATATTTCGTGACGTCTTATAATTAATTTAGTTCAAAATATAAACCGTAAAATAATTAGCGAAGTGGAACTCATTAAAATACAGTAAATTTTAGAATTATTTTTTTAAAACCACATACTTTGAAAGTATTTTGTAAAATACTCTCTATTATAATATTATGTTCTATAATGTGTTATAAATAAATCCGTAACGTTGAAAAAGAAATTATAAAATATTTTTTCTTATTTTTGACAACCATAGGGTTGTAAAGGATAAAATTCAAAATTTAAAAATATTTCATGCATGTTTAATTGCAAATTAAATGTACTCGTGCACTACTTATTTAGTCAATTTAGTAAAAGTTGATTGATATATAATGTATAAGAAATCAAAGGGTTAATTATGTTAACAAGATTTTGGTATGCTATTTTTTCCACAGTTATTCTATGTATCTCATATTAATCAAAATTTTAAATATATATGGTTTGAACTATTTGAAACTATTCACATATAAATAAATGTTATGCTTGGTAACCGGATTTATATATAATAAATAAACTTAAATACTTGTTTTGTAGCCAAGTCACTTTTTTCCAGATTTTCACTATTCTCAAAATAATTTTTTAATTAGAAATACAAAAAGAATTTTTTAAGATTTTAATTCTCAAATTAAAAATAAAGAAAAATTTCCTTAGATATTACAATTTTTGAAATATATTACTATATATATTATTATATATATTACAATATTTAAAGTCAAATAATCAAGTATCACTTTCTAAATAAAAAATTTTTAATCAGAAAGCAATTATGGCAGTTTATGCTTCATATTTTATGTATGTAATTTAATTAAATATTTTAATTTATTCTAATAATTTTAAAATTGTGAGTAGGTTTGAATAAAAAAAAATTCTTTTCTTTTCCGTTTTTAAATAATTTATATTTATATACATATATGTTTAATTTACATATATGTATATATATATATGAAATATAATCATATTATTTTAAATACAAAACTAAATAATATTATTATAAATTGTTAATTATTTAAAATTGCAAAGAAAATAATGACAAAATTTTGGCAGAACAAAATGTTAAAAATATTTTTATTTTCAAATTATTTTATTTATTTAATTTTATATATATTTTATTTTATAATTTTTGTCTAAATATTTGAATAAAATTTATTAACTGCGTAATTTTTTTTTTGATTAAATCAAAAATTTATTAAATTAGAAATTTTCATTTACCTTTACGGTAAAGGTAGTTGAACCCTTTTTTTAATGTTTTGTTTAAATTCTGTTATAGAAAAAATTAAAAGTTTATTAACTTCAATAAAAATTTAGTAAATTTACTGATTGTTTTTTTTGTTTTGGGAACAATGATCCAGGAATTTTATATTAAAAATTATATATAAGAAAAATTTAAAAATAAAAAATGAAAAAATATTAGAATTTACGTGGTGTGACAAATTTGATGAAAATTTAAAAGAAAACAATAAATTTTAATAAAAGAAAATTTCTTAGAAAATGATCAAATTTAACAAAAACTGAAAAAGTTAGTAATTCAATACTTTTCCAAATTATTTTCCTCTTAGATAAAGAATATAGGCATTTGTGAAAAGATTTTCAATGAAAATACTAAACAATCATACCCAAAATTAACCAAATTTGAAATTGGTTGTTTAAAATCTCATATGGTTGGAAAAATCTCATATGGTTCGAATTAAGATATCCAAAGCAAGTTCAATACAAAAAAAGTTCGAGCATTTTTCTCTTTGTTAATAAGGCTCTAAGCAATTTAATATTTCTTCTTACTTCATAATTGCTTTTCCATAATAATGCTTATGTTTTTAAGAAATAACTGACGTTTCCAAAACTAATTTGAAGTTAGAATTATATTTTGCACTTTCCAAAGCGCGGAACTATTTTTATGGTTATCATAACTACGCCTTGCGGAAAATAGTCGACTATATTTGTTTGGAGACTATATGGTGCTCGAAAAATGTTAATTTAATCAAAATTTCTTCTTACTAATAGTTAGTATCACAATACTAAAGGATTAATATTGTGATACTAACTTATTACATTATTGGAGAAAAAAGTAAATTAATTTTTCAAATTAATTATTCAAATTTTTAGAAATAAAATTATTCAAAAACTTTCCTCTGTACTATAGGAAATTCTAGAAAGAAAAAAATTTAAATTTAATAATCATTTGAATTAAAATATCGGTATGATGGCATAATTTATATAAAATTATAAATCTCATAAATTTCACAAACTTTAATAAAATTTTTCCGAAAATTTTAATAAAATATGAACGAAATTTTCGACTAAGAGATAAAGAAATTTTTGTTTATTTTAAAAGAGAGAAAAAAAATAAAAACTATTTTGCAAAATTTTACTTTTGTTTTTGTTTTGTTGATAAAGTAAAGAAAATAATTTTTTTATTTTTTAATTTTTTTGCAATCTATTTTTAATAATAATAAATATTTGGAATGTGGAAAATACATTAAGAAGAGAATAAAAAAAGAGTAAAAGAAAATTATTTTAAAAATCAGTAATTGCACAAACATCTCTGCACCAATTAAAGAAAAATTCTATATAGAATTTTTGAAATATTGCTAAAATGATCATATCCGCACCAAATACTTAAATAAGTTTTTTTAATATCAAATCTAATACTTGTATGGGAAAATAGATTAGAAACCAGATGTTAACAAAGAGCAGGACTATTTTTATTGAAAATCTATTGAATCAAAAATTTGTTAGTAGTTACACATTTAATTCTTGAATAACTTCATTCATCACCTTAAAAATCAATAAATTAAAAATGTATTTCGTCAAATTTGGAAAGTGACAATTGTGTTTGGATATGGACACTACTGAGCTTTTATATTTAATAATTTTTATAATTTTTAGTAATTGTTGTATCTTCATAAATTCTTTTAAAATTTTAAAAGAAATTATTAAAACACAATTCCAAATTTCTGGCTTTGCATTATTATTAAAAATGATTCAAAAATGTTAAAAATAATTTATGAATCTTAAAATACTTCTTTAATAAATTTAAATATAATTCAACTAAGAAGTATGTTAAAAGATCTAACACCAGCCTGACCATTTCAATAATAAAATTTAAATTTTTTAGAAAGGTATGAAATTTACAGTATAGATTTGTATTTAGATGGTAATACGCTATTTTTGATTAATGTCATTTGTATTACACAACAAATGAAATTGGCATATATATTGAAAATTAAATTTAATATCGTATATGTATGTATAATGAAAATGT